CCCAGGTAGGATGCCTCCAGGGACTACAAGTGGGGCTGAACTCTTCTCCCTCACTAAGCTTTACAGGTCTAAGCCACATAACAGCACAAATCACACATGAATTATTTCACATGCCACGAGTGGTTCTGGAGATGCTACATGCATGAGATTTCCCCCCCCTCAGTATAACACATTCCTGGGTGACTAAAAGCCACAGCTAAACAGCTGTCATTATTTAAAACAGGGTTCAAAGTCCTCTCCTTTAAAAAAAAAACAAAAGGAAAGAAGAAAAAAAGTTGACCTCAATGCAAAGAGAATCAGAAGAAGTCACTGCTTTAAATGCCTCCAGGATGACATGTTTGTAGTTTCTTTTCAGCAGCAGGCAGATTCTTAAAATTGCCTGTGATAAAAAGTAATTAATCCGAGCCCTTCAGAACAGGAGGGTTATGGCCTAGGGACTCGGTATGAAGCCGAGTCCTTTAAATGTTAAACATTTCAGGGTCTGCGGAATACAAGAGCTGCCATCCTTATCTCTTTTATTATTTCTCCGGCAGAAGCTAGATGCGACTGATAGAGAGAGATTTAAAAAAGAAACTAATCAAAAAGGACTTAGGCAAAAGTAGAGTAGCCTTAGTCAAGTCACAAAAGCCGAAAGCAGCGTCAGGTTGTGAGTTAAGGGATCTCTGGGCATCAGAGAACACGTTGCGATCCTGTGGCACCTGTCCGCTGAGAAATGAAAAGCCAGCGCTGTAAGCAAGTGCTGCAATCGTGCCTCCGACTCGGAGCTGGCCCTGCAATACCTGGATGCCCCCCGCCCTGTGTATGCACACGCGCGTGCGCGCGCGCGCGCACACACACACACACACACACACACACACACACACACACACACTTTGACCTTAATTTCCCCAGGTGAACTGGGGAGAGGGCATGGATCCATGCCAAAGCCAAACCTAAGCTTTCAACCAGACTGCCCAAGAGGGGTAGTTACTGCTACAACTGTATCAGCACAGGTGCAGATTCTGAGCTCAGACAATGAAGCCGTTGCAGTTGAATAAAGCAATCTAACTCAGAGCCTCCTTCACTCGCAACTGCTAAACTTCGGGTCTCTCGACTCTTGGGTGAACCGCACGTGACAGGCACTAGGTACATGGCTTATTGCCCTGCCGGGAGGTGTTCAGCTTCCAGGGACACACAGGCTGTAAAGGAATCTGGTTCGAGCAGAGCTGTGATGTCATCATTTAAATAGTTCCCCAGTCATCACAAAGCCAGCACAGTGCTGCCAAGACCTGCATTTTTAATGTAAAACCCAAGATCTTTTAAAGCAAGGCAACCTTTATGACCTTTATAAAGAAACACATAAAAGGCACCAGCCCTGTATTTTAATCTTCTTTGGCAAGTCCCCTTAAATTGTGATGGGCACAAATCTATAGTGCCCTGCAGCTCTACCCATAAGAGGCCCGGGCTATTAGCTCAAGGCACCTTAAGATATTAGCTCAAGGTACCTTGATCCAGGGATCAAATCCCTGGAACGGTTCCCGAACTCAGTCTCCAGTGCAGTAGTGCATCTCACTGCTGCCCACCCCCACAGGATAGCTCCTCTCACCAGTTTAAGTTAGCATTAATTATTAACAAAGCGGAGAAAAAGATACCCGCACAGTAATTGTCTCCTGCTCACTGCAGCCTTCAGATTGTTCAGTTTTAGCCTAAGGAAAGGGAGTTTAACCATCCTATTTTAGGCATTACCATGCATCAGTGATCAAGACTGTACATTTATTATCCAGAAAACAAAAACAGACCAAAATATATACCATTGCATCCCAATAATGCATAATAAGAGCGCCAGGAGAGGCATTTCTAAATGAACCACAGCCTCCACAAATCAGCTGAGCTAATACCTCACCATTAAGCTACAACGTTGCAATGGCGTGCAATCCATGGTATCTGCAGCCCTATTGGGGATAACTATTTTAAGTCTAATTATCGCGAAATTTTTAGAATGCAAATGCTTTTCATTTATACATAAAACAAAATGCCATGACATTTCTTCCATCCATTTATCATACACAAAGTTAATTACTGTGTAACAAATAGCTCCTGCTGGAATCTGTATGTTTTGAGGATGTTACAGAGCTGACTCAGGCAAATAAGATGAACCACAAAGTAGTAGTTAATAGCTTATGGCATACTTATAATAAAACAATGACTCTGTGAAAGCTTTTGTTGTCAAATTAAAGCTAAGCTATTTCCATTGGAATAACTCAATGATAAGCAGTCATTATCTGTTTAACTTGACTCGGATCAGGATTTCCACGAGCATCGTTATTTTGATATATTCACGATGCTCTATATATTTGTGGGCCAGGTATTATGAAGTGTAGTGCGGAAATGCTGTATTCATCATCACAGACTTAAGTAATGCAGAACACAGTTAATTTAGTAATTGTGAAACTTGTGAAGACTGGTGGAAATTCATCTCTTAACTGAGCTCCTATAAGGACAAGGTCCCTTAAGAACTAATTTTCAACCGATATAAATTGGAGGAGGGGAGCAAGTGGAGCTATGACAACGTACTACCCAGGGCAAAGTGGGGCTGCGTAGCACAAAGTCTTGTGCTGGTCCACTGCACACTTGTGAGAATAGCTGTAATGAGAAAATCATTTTTTCTTCTGAATCCACCAGAAAACATTAAAAAAATTGACAGGCCACATCCTACATGTCTCTCTCACACAAACAGTCCCATTTGGCCTAAAGCAGAATTGCTGAATACTGATGAACAAGATGGTGGTAGCTGGCAGCAAAGCTCTGCGTGGTTAGATAGTGTGAAACAGTACATATGTCAATCCATCAAACATGCTAATATAAGCAATCTGAACTCATTTTTGGTCTGAACTATGGTACAATACTTCACCCAGATGGAAGAAAGAGATAAACATTTTGTGTGTTCAGATATATCAAGTGTTGGGAAGCAAAATTAAAATCAAAACTGGAAAACTACCAATTTTGCATGCTAGTGTGTATATATAAAGAACAACACAGCGCAAAGTGGAATGTTGTGGCAGATTTTTTTCCTGTCATTGTACAAATTAATTAGATATATTTGTGTCTCTATGATAAACAGCAGCATGTATTTGAGTGTACAATTCCAAAGGTGTAAAGAAGACACTAAGTATTAGCAAACACAATATTTGCACTTTTTTTTTCTTTCTGCTTCAGTTGACAAATGCTCTGCATAACTAATAACAATGTTATATAGCATACATTTCATAAATGTCGTACGTGTCTGTGTAAACTGAAGGCTAGTTCTGCTCAAAAAATAAAATAAAAATCAATGAATGCAACAGCAGCATAACTGGACTCGAGCATTAAAAAAAAAAACAGTGTGCATTAAATCCATCTTTCTATTCAGATGAACTTGACTGCTAAGCTCATATGATTTCACATATATTGGAAGGAGATGATCAGCTGCTACTGAAATGAAGCAATAGCTACGTGTTGCCTTGATTGGCAATGACTTTTCACTCGTCTAAACAGACCTTCTGCTCCATCCCCACCGTCCACCTACACAACATGCAGCACAATTTATTAACACCAAATTGCCATACATACTCCTCCAAAAGAGTGGATTAATGACCTTATTGTCTAGTCAGATGAAAGGCAGAAAACACAGTAAATCAAAATTAGTTCCCAGTGGTGAACAGCAGAAAGACTAAATAACTCAACTCACAGCCTGATCTGCAAAGTCTTCCAGATCGGGAAGTAGAAGAAAACAACATTAAGTATGCAAACAATGGGAAGCGTTTCTCCAACTTTGCGTCTCCTTATATTTCTGGATTTGTCTAATGTCAGAGGACTGTACAGTTACGCTCCGCATTAAAAATACTGCTACAGTTTCAAATATCTGCTAATTGATGCTAGGGTCAGCCAGGAGAATTTCTGAGCAGCAGAACTAAGACAACTGGGCTCACAAACAAAACTGCCTGCCAGCTCAGAGAGAGAGAAAATGCCCAGTTGTGGATGCTGCTGGAGCCAGAAAGGGAACAGCAACATCCTTCAGCCTCCGACTAGTGAATCCAAGGGATGGAGCTAGCGTTAGCCCTGGGGTAGATGTGTGTGCACATGTGAAAGCAGAGATCCCACCTCCGGAAAGAGGGCCACAACAGCGAGAAAGGAAACTTGAGAGGTTTCCAATCCGCTCAGTATCGAAGCTGGACATGCTGCTCAGCCTTCTCAGTGTATTGTGCTTCAAAACCTGCTGGAGCATCTGTTAGAGATTAGCCACAGAATACAGAGGTGTCCCATTTTGGGGTGGGTTTTTTTGTTTTTTTAAATCTCATAGGCATAAGCCACGGCTACGTTCCCTGTGTCATGCAAATGTAAAGTTTAATTATTTTCAACTTGAAAGGGAGGCAGATCAATGCACAGGATAATCTATTGTAATTTGGATTATGAAGATGTCTCAGAGTTTGCCATCACAAAAGTGGTTATAAGCCTGCAATTACTATAAAGCTAATTGGTAGTTTCTTCGTGCCTGTGTTTTCATGTTGTCAGTGGGGCAGTAATGAAAATGAATGCCACATTTGTGAACAGAATGTCTGTAGGCTTGTTTACCACATTTCCAGCAACAACGTCTGCTTTATCATGCATCTCAAAGCAGGGGATCAATTTAAGGCTCTTTGAATTTCCCCCATAAAAAAAAAAAAATATACTCCCCGGAAAAAAAAAAACCAAAAAAAAAAAAAAATCAAAAGTCGACTTCCTACAGACAGGTGCGGCGGGGAGCGAAGAGTGGGGAATTAAAACGCCAAAAAGGACGACCTCACGTACGACATTCAAATCATTCACCTGAAGCAGACAATACGGGGACTCCGAATGATTCATCTGTAATTCACCCTATTCTTCACGATCCAGCCTCCTACCAGCAGCATCCGACAGCGACTCGCACCTGCAGCACCAGCAGCACTACTGCCCCCTTCCCCCCCAAAAGAGAGAGCGCAGACAGCATTTTTGCTTCCACTTACCTTTGAGTAACTTCTGCCCTTCCGCGATGTTCGGGGAAACCGAGGCGGTGTAGTCTTCTTCCGAAAAGCCAGGCTTGCAAGTGGGTCTCACTGTAAGATCCCCAGTGTGTGCCTGCGGGATGCAAACAAGCAGGGTGACCGCACGGCGGAGGGGCAAGACCCGGAGGACAACGGGCAGAAAGGCTGGGAATGAGGAGCGATTCTCCACGGCGGACAACAGCGCTCCTGGACCTGGAGGCCTGATGCTGCGAGCCGGGGAGAGGTTTGTGGCTGCAGGGGAGTCTCTTGAGGGAGCAACCCCACTTGGCACTCAACTCCCCCCATGCAGCCGGGCCCCCAAAACTCCCGCTGCCCCCCAGCAACTTCTGCCCCAGGGCAGGGCAGGGCAGGGCAGGGTCCCAGCCGCCCAACTTTGTGCGCGCACAAAGCCCCCCACCGCGGCCGGCTGCGATGCCCGGGAGGGAGAGGGCAGAGCCGCTTACTAAGCAGAAAGACAAGCGCGGGGGCTCGCGGCTCGGCAGGGCGATGCT